AATACAATCTTCAGTGCTATCTATATAGTGAAAAAATAGCCCAAATGTTCAAAAGTCAGAAATTAAATAAACACATCATCATAAATAGTTAATATAATACTGTCCATGCTTTAAAAATGAAATTATAGAAAAAATATACTGATGTGGAGAAATGTTTACAATAAACAATGTTGAATTTAAAAACACCTTAAATATACCATATGATCCTATTTTTGTAAAAATGTACATATGTGATTATATACATGCATAAAAATGTGAACGTTTAAACACCCAAATGTCAACTGTGGTTATCTCTGAGTGGTGTAATTACAGGAGAGTTTTATTTTGTTCTCTCTGCTTCTCTGCATTTATTATATTGAGCATGTTTTCGTGCATAATAAGATAATCAGTAAAAGGTATTAAAATACACTTCTGTTCTGTTTCATGTTGTGAAAGTTAAATGTCGTACCATTTCCCCTTAGATTGTAATTACCCCTCTATATTCATCCAGCTGTCTTGATCCACGAGTTGGTTCTGTTAGAAGTAGCTGGACAGACCTGGCATCACTGAGGTCATAAAAACAGAGCTGCCTTCAGTGTAGACCCTCACCTTACCTGGAAGTACAATTTCAGCTTGCTAAAAGATGGAATGGCCCAGTGTGGTGGTGCATGCCTGTAATCCCAGCACTTGGGAGGCTGAGGCAGGAGGATTGTTGTGAGTTTGAGACTAGCCCGAGCTGCAAAATAAACTCGAGACCAGCCTGAACTGCATAGTGAGACCTTGTCTCAAAAAGACAAAAATAAATAAATAAACAAATAAAGATGGAATAAAGATGAGTGAAAGGCAGATTTCAAGTTTGACTTTATTCTTCTACTTTAACTAATTTTGTTTCTCTGCATTGCCTTGAGAGTAATTTCACTCTAGATGTTAATATTCTATCACTGAGAAATTTCTGAGACTAGCTACTTAAACTAGTCAATTAAAAATGAAAAATAAAATAATATCGCCACTCTCAAATGTTCTGGTACAAGCTGGGTATGGAACTTGTAATCCTAGCTACTCTGGAGGCAGGAGGATCATAAGTTCGCGGCCAACCCAAGCAACTTACTGAGACCCTGTCTCAGAATAAAAAGGGGTAAGAGTGTAGCTCCATGCTAGGGCACTTGCCTAGCACCCGTGAGCCCTGGGTTTAATCTGTAGTATTGCAAACCAAACCAAACCTGATTGGGCCATGCCACGCCACGCCACGCCACAGCCATGGCCACAACCAAACAAAATCTTTTAGTAATGTAATTTACAAGGTGCTTTAATATGTCAGTTTAGCTGGAATTTTGAGAAATGAATTTCTGTTTTGCTCTGGAAGGATTCTCATTTCTCTTCAGAAAGCCTGGTTGGGAAGCTTGACAACTTGACACTGGAAATAATGGGACAGAACCACAAGCACAACAACAACCCGCAACCAGCCTGTTTGATTGAGAAGGAGCTTATTTAAATTTTTGTTGGTATTTTCTAGAGTTTCTCACATAAATACATGTGAAAAATTTTTAAAATGTCCAGGATTGGAAAAATAAGTTTGAGAACTGGAAAGTGTTGTCTCTCACTTAAATATTCTGAAATATCCCCTTGAAATGGCTGCCTAATTTTTTGAGTTGTTCTGTGCTTCACAGAGTTAGTCTGGGGAAAAAAGAAAAAAATCCAGCCTCACAGCACTGCCCAGGAAACTCTCCTCATGTCACTCCTCCAGTACTATCTTCTGCCTCGGAAGGCTGTGTTCTTCATTGCTGTGCTCATCTGTATGGCCCCTCTCCATCACCATCCCTGACCTCAGTCAGAGAAATCTCTTTGGAACATTAATCAGATTTCTTAGAATCTTAGGACAGTATCTTAGAATTTCTGGAAAAAATTTCGATTTTTTTTTTTTTTTTTAATAGTAAAATAACAAGCACACCCTAATTCCTTGGAATGGATACCTTGTAATGAGTACAGTGCTCATTTTTATGCTTCTGTGTCATTGATGCCAATTCTTGTTCGTTCTTTTTTTTTTTTTTTTTTTTGGTTTTTTGTCTTTTTGAGACAGGGTCTTGCTATGCAGTTCAAGCTGGCCTTGAGCTCACTTTGTAGCCTGGGCTCATCTTGAACTCGCAGCGATCCTTCTGCCTCAGCCTCCCAAGTGCTGGGATCACAGGGTGTTGCCACCGCGCACTGTGACACTCAGCTATATCCCCAGCTTGTTCTTTCTAATGAATTGTTTCTAAATCTGATCCAAGACCATATTCTCAAAGGTATTTTCCTTTTGAAGTGACCCAGAAATTACTTGAGAGAAATAGCCACCCCCAGTGTCACAAGCCCTGTTGTGGTTGAAAAGCCCCTTGTGATCTGTTTTGTCAATTCCTCCCACTGCGTGTCCTGTCCTACACTACTCTCCAGCCCTGAGGAACAGGCAGCTCCTGAGTGAGCTGGGCCATTTTAAGCATTTTTCTCTTATGCTGGTGTTGGCCAGTGATACTTATCCACTCCAGCTACTGTCCTCACTCTTGTGTAGATTTAGCCTTCTGAAAACCCATTCCCGGGGACAATGGAAGACTTCCAACATGGGTGCGTTATTCCTCATAGAGGTAATTTTGCCGCCAATAAACTGTTCCCCAAATGCAGTGGCTTAAAACAACAACAGTTTCACTTCATTTCAGTAGATCAGGAATCTGAGTAAACTCAGCTGGGTGCAAGATCATTGAGTCTTGGGCTGGGGACATAGCTCAGTGGCACAAGCACCTGCCTGGCTAGCACAAGGTCCTGAGTTAGATTCCCAGTACCCCCAACCCCCAAAATGAAAAAACTAGGTCATTGAGTCTCACAGGTTGTGCTGCTTCCTGGTGGCTCTCGGGGTGTCAGCAGGGCTCACACCTTGGATTGGTGCCCTGAGGCTGGGTTCCTTATGGCTTGGTGCCTAGGGGCTTCCCTTGGTTCCAGATTCACAAGTGACATCTTTTGTAACAACATCACAGAAGTGACATGCCCCTCAGGTTGGTATATTCTACTGTGTAGAAGAAAGACACTGGGTCCAGCCCATGTCTAGGCACACAGATCACACCCTCAGTGGGGACTGCTGAGGGCTGTCCGAGGACTCTGTCTGCTACAGTCTGAGGGGCACCCTTGAGCAGGCCTGGGGCGCCACGGGTAGATGGGACACCCCAGGTCCTCTCAGTCTCCCTTTTCTGCCTCTCCTGGTGTAGGCATCTTGGTGCTATGTCTGTGATTTCAGGGTTTTAGAGAGGTGTATTTTAAATAATCTGGCTCCAAATGCCATTTGAAAGTCAACTCCCTCGCCTGATCTTCAACTGAAGAAAAAATGGTCTATTTTAGTGTTGAGCGAAGAGCTCTGTTGAACTTACCAAGGTGATACAGCGCACTGAAACAGTGAGTTCTTAAGAGATTTGCAAGTGGAATTTTGACTGTGTAACTTGGGGCTTATGTCCTGAATTCAGCTTCTAACCTAGAGGCAGGAGAAAGTCCTCTGTATTCTTAAGCGTGGCCCCTGCAGAACCTCTGTTGCACTTTTCTTTGCCTTGTTTTGAGTTGGCAGCTACACAACAATCTGGTCTATGTCTAATGCATAACTTTCACCCTCACCATATTTTTTTGCACTAATTTACTCTTTTTTTTCTGTGTCTGTAATGCATCTAGTACTAAGTTTACTAAGGATGTCTAGCATTTAAATAGAGAACGTCACAGAACTTTTTCTTGCCTACTTGCTTAAAAAGAGTAGGCTGGGTCTGTGATGCCTGTAATTTCAGTGCTATTTTACTAGTTAGGTAGGGCATTAGCTGTTTTTGACCTTGAATCAAAATTTTCTCCTTATCTCTACACAGCTTCCAAATATTTTGCCTTTTAAGTCAAGGGAGTTGCCCTGATTTTATATGACATTTGGATACGATATTTAAACTGTTGAAAAACCCTTTATAGAAAAGACCCTTTGATATTAAATATAATAAATGCCTCTGAATTGAATACGTGCACAGGTTCTTCCCTTTGAGCTTTATGAGCCCACACTGTGCCAACTGCATATTTTCTTTGTAGTTGGCTTCCATAGTCTGTCATCCTCCAAGAGTATGTCAGCTGTGGAAATTGCTCTTGACTTGGTGTTGATGTGTACTCTGAGCATTGTGAAGTTTCAACTTTCATTTCTCAACTAGTGAATGACATTTGTCGTACTGCTGATCATGTCCAGTCCTGATGATGCAGGCAGGTCTCTGCGGGAAAACAGTAAAGCAATGGGGTAGGTTGACTTGTAGAACTGACCTGTATTGGCACAGCCCGAGTTATTTATTCCAGGATATTGTTTCCTTTCCTATGGATACTCCGCATTATGTTAACTTGTCCTGGCATTTATATTTCCTTATAAATTCTAAAGTATTATTATGTTCAGGTGTTTTAAGTTAACCTACAAACTGCTCAATATGAGAAATCATTCTTTTCTTTCTTTTTGTTATGGTATCTTGGATATCTTGCCCATTCTGTACCCACTATAACACCACCCCAGACACATTTCTGAACATGAGTTAGCACATAAAGGAGGTCTACTCTAGACTTACCAGAACCACGTGAGAGCAGGTCAGGGATGAAGGGCTGGAGCAGATCTGGACTCTGGTAGGGAGAGATGAACATGTAGTCCAGGAGGCTTTGTGATGATACTCAGTGAACTCTACCTGGGAAAGACGGGTACCAGCCTTTTGACCCCCTAAACACACCAAGGTATGTTATTACCGTGAAATGGTACTGTGATATTTTTTAGTTGTGATTCATTCACAGTTTAATGTCCTTGTAGTTCTGCCTTGACTTTCCCCCCAGGAAGAGTCTAAAATCCCTTCATTATAATATAGACAGTGTGCTGCACTTTGAATACAAATTTATCCATGTTCGGACTAATTTTTCTTGTGATTGTCTCTACCCTGGAGAAGTGCCTTTAATGAATTACATACAAATTGTGTAATTTAAGAAGTTAATTTGGTTTTCTGGTTACACAGGACTAAAAACAGCCCTTGTAGAAAGAGATGATTTCTCATCAGGGACCAGCAGCAGAAGCACTAAATTGATCCATGGTGGTGTGAGATATCTTCAGAAGGCCATCATGAAGTTGGATATTGAGCAGGTAATTGTGTATGCTGGTTGTTAAACAAAAATTGCAACTGTTCTTTCTCTACCCAATTAAATCAGGTTGTTTAAAAATGGCTTTTAACATTTCTTCCTCTTGGAGATACTTATTTTGTGTATGCTACTGGAATAGCTTTCAAGAGAGGCGGGTCAGGGCTTTCCTGTAGTGTTCTGTTTATGAGTAATCAGGGGCCTTTTCTGCACAGGTGTGTCAGAGTAGCAGATTTACATAATCGTTTTTGGATGTGTTACCTTTTAACAATTATGATTGGGTTTTTGCCAGTGGCCACCAAATTGCTCCTCCACAAGCACTTTCAGGGAGCTGTGTTGCAGTGCAGGAGTGCCAACTGATCTCCCAATTATAGCGGCGGCCGCACCCTCCTTGCTGGTGCACTGTTAAGGGAAAGATGGTCTGAGTCATGTTTTTCCTGTGTCACACTTGGTCTTGTCCAGGCTGCCACCATTTGAAAACTGCCAAGGCAGCGTGGAGGCGGCTTCTCCCAGAGGGGTGGAAAGACCAGCTGCACTCCCCGTCTGCTTTCTGCACACGAAAAGCGCAGCAGCGCTGACTTGACATTGTCAAGTTTTGAATCTGTCTCCCCTTTTTCTTCTCGACAAGTCAGTTTTGAATGTGTCCCCTTTTCTTACATTTCTTTGGCATCATGATGGATGCAAAGAAAATGGCATACATAGAATTTAGAATTAGCTAATTTATAATGTGCTGGATTATTTATTCAATATGTATGAACCTTAGTCTTCTCATTTATAAGATTAGTGTAATAATAATAAAAGTGGTTCTTTAGAGAGTCATAAAGAGGATCACAGGGGTTAAGACAAAAGCTTTCTTAAAAATGTGAAATACCATGCAGCTGCTATGCATCATCTTTTCTGGGTTTAGTGAAGGCAAGAAGGAAACTTTTAGCATGAATTTGAACAATCTGTTATTTCTTACCTGGAGAAAATATTATGAAGAATTGAGAAAGAGGAGCATTAAGAGAATGAAAGATAAATGGTTACAATAATCTCAGAACTCAAGTCAGGAAAATATCTTACACCTGGGAACTCTGACAGCATGTTTTTCTCCTATGCAAATACAGTTGCGGTTTCTAAAAAATCTTTGAGGTTGACAGCATGATGTATTATTAGAAATTTGATTAGGAGGGAGCTATCCTCACTCAGAGGTAGAAGGTTTCTGTGTATCAATCAGTTGCCAGGGTGTCTATTTGCCATTTGAAAATATTATGCTATGTTACTGCCAAACTAATTTTCTCTGTTTTGATTTTCAGTATAGGATGGTAAAAGAAGCCCTTCATGAGCGTGCCAACCTACTAGAAATTGCTCCCCATTTATCAGCCCCACTGCCTATAATGCTTCCAGTTTACAAGTAAGCCTTTGGTATCACCTTTCTCCTATTTGATCACCTGAGGTCAATGAACAACACAGTTTTAGTAGAAGTAATTTCTCAATGTGTATTTCTTCATGTGGTTTTAATTAGCCCTAATTTTTAACCTTTTGAAACATTTCCATCAGTGTATTTAAAAGTGTGAATTTTTAAAAATACTCTCTATGGACCCATCTCTAAGGTCCAGATCTTGAAGGCAAAGGTGATTGTGTTCTGTGTTTATAATTAGTAATACCTTATAATTTCTTAGTGTATATAGATGAACAACTTCATTTATACTGAAGGATAGGAGGGCTAGAAATGTAGAAAGCCAAAAAAGATCCTGCTGTTCAATTTTATGCTGCAATAGGGTTTGGTTGTATAGTTGAGGCTGGCCTTGAACTCACTTTGTAGCCCAGGCTGGTCTCGAACTCATCAATCCTCCTGCCTCAGCCTCCTGAATGCTGGGATTACAGGCATGTGCCACCATGCCTGGCTGTGTTGGGTTATTTTAAATTTCCAAATTACCTAAAATTGAAATTTGGCTAGATGTCAGATTATGAAACCCAGTTTCCTAATGTTGTCAAAGCTACCCATGAGGCTTTAAAAATAAAAGATAAAGCTACCCATGAGGGTCTCTTAAGATGGAATACAGGTACAATAATGTGAAGTGGAGTTTGTAATACTTAGCTACATGAGTATTGTGGTGACTTGAAATAAATTTTAAAATTTTGTCACAGATTGCTCAGGACCTCTTAAGTCAGTGATTTTCAGCCCAGGGTACACATTACAAACCTAGGCACTCAACCTACTTTGGATAAATCATCCTCTGGGCATGTGTGGTCCAACCATCAGTGTTTATTTTTAATGTTCCCCCATGAATTCTAATATGCAGCCAGGATGAGAGCCTCAGAGAAGATTGATTTAAAATCTTACTAACTCATTTACTTGCGTACTCCACTAGACCGTTGTGAAAAACAGTTATGCAGAGCTCTTGTTTCTTTTGTAATCCACTTCTAGGTAAGCTTTGTTTTCCATAGTGAAAAGTTGCCTGTAATTTAAGGTGTCATTCTGTGTTGTTACACTGTTTCTGAAGAAACTTTCCCCCCTATTTATGCTTAGGTGGTGGCAGCTACCTTACTACTGGGTAGGAATCAAGCTGTACGACTTGGTTGCAGGAAGTAATTGCCTGAAGAGCAGTTATGTGCTCAGCAAATCAAGAGCTCTTGAACATTTCCCCATGCTCCAGAAGGACAAACTGGTGGGAGCAATTGTCTACTATGATGGTATGTGATGCTTTTTATGTGGTGTTTTTCTTTCCTACTGTGACTCCTTAAAATATACTGTGGCCCTCATAATATGCTTTTTTTTTTGTCTTTTTGAGACAAGATTTCACTGTGCAGTTCAGGCGGTCCTTGAACTTGAGGCAGTCTTCCTCCCTTTGCCTCCCCAGTGCTAGGATTACAGGTGTGCACCACCATACCCTGCCTATAATATGCTTTTAATGAAATAGTTTTGCATTCTTAATTTTAATACTAGTCCTATAAAACATACAAACATGCACACACATACATAGATTCACTGTTTTCTCTAGTACTGGCTGAAAAACTACCCATAATGTTTTGCTTCTAATGTTATTTGTTTTATATATTCTTTCTCTTTTTTGATTTCTACTTGGGTCTCATGGTTGGCTTGGACTGCGTCTCATTGTTACCGATTTGGGCCATGCCTGTGCCATTTTTGTTGTTGTTGTTTTGTTTTATTTTGCCAGTGGATACCTGCCTTATGAATATATTACAGTGGAACAGCAGCTGAGGATCTGTTAAGTTCTGTAGGCGAAACCTCTATTTTCAAAGGGTTATAAACCTGGGGAAGAATGCCCCTTGGGCTATAATTGACATGTTTGGATTTTGCATAGGAGACATTCTTGAACGTATAATTTGTGTGATGAACGTAGATGAACAGCATTGTTAAATCAAAACCCTCAGGTTTTATTGCTTATGCTATTGCTGTTAGATGTTTTCTAATAGTGACATTACCTAGTATCCATTTACCTTGTGTTCAAGGTAAATTCTGTTTTGTATATAATATAATTTTGTACACTTTCGTTAGGAGGAACTAAACGGTTAATGTATTTCCAGATCATGAAACAATACGAACAATGTAAAGCAAAACAGCCAAAGGTATTTGTGAAATTTTACTAGTGATCCAAAGATACCCATTTGTAAGGAAATGGCTGCACCTGTTCAGAAGGTCTCAGAAATTTTGTGACAAAGGACATCTTAGGCTCTATATATCACCCCTTGACCCCACCATTATCTGGTCTTTTGTATTTGGTGGTAGATAACTAAAGTCTAGTACAGTGATGGCAAATCTTTTGACACTTTCCATGATAATAAATAGCCAGCTGCAGCATGCGTGCCATAGGCTTGCCACCACTCTCTCAAGCATGAAAAAATTTTGTTGTTGTTTGAGGAGACTTAGATATTTACACTTCATATTATGGGATGTCCTCAAGGCTACCCTTCCCTTTTTTTCTTTCCAGTATTACATTTCTGAATTAATTCAGCTGTTTGTTAGTTGGGTTTTCATACATAAATGCAAAATGTATATGTGCAGAAGGGCAACAAAGACTAAACTCAAGAAAATGTCCTAGGAGCAGCAGTATTAGGAAAATGTTAAGCGTCTTAGACAAACATTGCTGGCTAGAAAATTAAGTTTGTAGTGCTGTCCAGCATCTACACACCACAGGGGGGCACTTCATTACTTTTTTGGTGCCCTTGCTTGAGCCTACATGTTAAAGGACAGCCTTCGCTGTGACTGTGCTTTCTCTGCATCAGACCTTGAACGTTAATCCATTGTAGCTTGTTGGGTGATTATATAGTAAAGAGGTTTTCGGTCCAGGAGACATAAGAAGGCATTCTGTAAATCGCATTCTGCCCATTCCAACATGGGAATGTGTGTGGCCTTTGCCTCTTATTACTCATCCTTTCTGCACATGCAGTACTCCTCAAATGCTTACTCATTTTTTATATCATTCAGTATATCAAGCATTAATTTTATTTATTAGCTTTTATATATATGAATTGCCTAATGAAGACTATTAGTAGACGTCATATCTCAATTTGTGACTGTCTTGGGTTGTTTTGTTATTGTTATGAATTACAGATTCTTTCTGCTTAAAAATACTTCAGTTCATAAAATGTTACCTGCTATACAGTTGAGTGTGGCGGCACATACCTGTAATACCAGCACTTGGGAGGCCAAGTCAGGAAGATCGCCATGAGTTTGAGGCCAGCTTGAACTGTATAGTGAATTCAGGACCAAGACCAGCGTGAGCTACATAGTGAGACCCTGTCTAAAAAAAAATCCAGGGGCCTGGGGATTTAGCTCAGTGGTACAGTGCCTGCCTGGCAAGCGCAAGGTTGTGAGTTCAATTCCTGGTACCAGGAACCCTCCCCCCCCCAAAAAAAATCCATTATAAAATGAGCAGAAATAATAATTTTTATAATTCTGACTTTAGGAGAATCTTGATTCTGATTAGAATGTCTCTATAAATAATCAAATGAACTTTTAAATACTACCAGAAGTTTTGCTAACTAGAGTTTTTCTAACTCTTATTAGTAATTATTATACAGTTGCCTCAGCATCATTGAAAAGTAAAATGTAATGGTGTAAAAATATAGAGACAGAGCAATAAACATTGCCATGAACTGGGACCAAGGCTTTAGACAACAATTTAGGATTCCTTCAACATAGAGATGTTAGGGGTCTAAGATGTCTTTGAAGTACAAAACGTACAATTATCAAAAGATTTTTCTTAATTACTCCAGAGCACCTGTTCTTCCTAAAGAAATTCTGATTGCTTTTGGATATGATTAAGGGAAAATGTTTTCTCAGAAGAATTCATGAAGGTAGTAGAATAAATTCTATACCTTTGGTGTAATATAGTGGCTATTCTCTGTATGGCAGAAGTTTGATCCATTGCCATACTTTATTATTAACTGGTGAAAGACTAGCTGAAACATGTGGAGGAATAACTACTATCTTAAAAATGCAGAGTCAAAGTTAATTTTCTCAGAATCCATATGAAATGTGAGTGATGAAGTGACATGCCAGAGTCAACTTACCAGCCTTCTGACATGTCCTGGTGTTTTCTTTTTGTCTTTGTGAGTTTCACTCTGCAGTTCAGACTGGCCTTGAACTCATTTTGTAGCCTAGGCTGACCTCAAACTTGAAGTGATCCTCCTGCCTCAGCCTCCAAGTGGTGGGATTACACACCTGGCCTCCTAGTGTTTTCTGTCTGGTCCCTAGCCCCTTTCTTATACAGACCCACTTTAACCATGGGCATTGCCACTGATGAGAGGGTGATTCTAAGTAGAGAGTAGATACCCTCCCAAGTTTGCAAGAAGTGTTTAAGACATGCTAGGTGAATCAGCTTGTGTGGAGGGGTAGCTAGTTTCCTCAGGAGCTTATTTTGTGTTCTGTCAACTCTATTTTATCTGTCAGTTCTCATGGTGGATCTTTGTTGCCATTCTAGTTGGACTTCAGTCATCCAATCCAGTGCACAGAATATGATATATAATTAAAATCATTAAATATTTAAAACCATTAAATATCTCCATTAAGCTTCTATAAAATGAAAGTGGAGAACAAAATTATAGCTTTAAGTTCTTCCTTTCTGCCAGTCAAGACATTGGCAGGGAGAAATGTCTGTTATTTTGTACCTGATAATGCTTGTATTTCTTATGCACATATGAAAATAGTGCTCTACCAGAAATTATTTTGGCTTTCCTAATGTAAATAAAGGTTGGTTCCATTCATGTTTCAAAGGGGGAATTAAAGCCCAGTGTTCACTAGAATATTCATTTTTATTCCAATCTAAAACTCATAGCATACAAATAGATGAATTCAGCTCATGAGAGAGCAAAGCCAATTTAATCTCTTGCTCCCCTGAGGTAAATGTAGTTCATGGTCCTGCCCTCACCCCAACCTCAGCTATAATCCCTGGCTCCTGGAGGTAAAAATGCACCGAAGTGAGGAAAATTCTTCAGCAGGATATAATGATCCAAAATGACAGGGACAATAATGACAATGAATTTCATGTCTCCTAGTCATGAGCTGGGGATGCTTGACTAGGCTGACTTATGCAATTAAATTGTTACAGGTGCAGCAGGAGATGCAGTTAGCTGTGTGTGCTTGAGGGAATGATGCCTCTGGCAAAGACATAGTGTGGAATCCAGGCTCTTTTTATTAGGAACAAAGTATTGTTCTTCAGGCATGCACTCAAGATTGTACACTTTAATAAAAGAAATCCTAGGTTAAAGGCAACTCTTTAGAAGTATTAATTTTATCTACTTTGAAAGCTAAGATAAATCAAGTAAACAGTACCACAAAGGTAAGTTTTTTAGGCTTATATATATATTTTTTTTTCAATGAATTCCTGGGATGTAGTCAAATCTGAAGATGATGCCTCTGATCCTCATTTTCATTATTTGTAAATATAGTTGTTGATCTAATTGGGTGTTACCTACTTTAAATCAGACAGATACATTGATTTTTTTCACAGTAATAGATACAGATTTAATAGTTAACTGAAAATTGTAGATGTACAAACAAAATAGCCATGCAATTTGCAAGTTTGGGCTATTTGCAACCTTACACAATTGATTCTTCTTGTTAATTGGAATGGTATCTCCAAAGTGGAGTTTATGAGCCTCAGGAATGCAAACGTCTCCACCAGGCTGTAGGAAGAATGTGTTAGAACTTCTACTTACATTATTTTTATCAAATCTTTTGTAAATATGACTTGTATATGGTTTAAATTTATATGAATAAAGTAGTATATGTATTAATTTATAAAAAAAATACCCATTGGGAATATATGCTGACATTTATTTTACCTTAGAAATATTCAATCTCAATTTAATTACTATTTTTTGGGCACTTGATTGGTAATTTGTTATTTTATTTCTTTGATAATCAGCTAATTATTGACTAATTTAATGTTTTCAAATTAGATGTATAGAACAAGAAGAAAAATCCCTCTGGAAAGATAGACATTACCAACTCTCTTCCTGTATTTCCCAAGGGCCAGTTTCTATAAACATTGAGGTGGCTTAAAAGAGATAAATAAAACTAATGTATAAGAGGGGATATTCTCTAGGGTCCTCCGAGTTAGCAAAATTTGGCATGATGCATTAAAAACTTGTGTAAAATTATTTTACTCTCCATCTTAAAATAAAAGTTTAATAAACCCATTAATTTCGCTTTGCCTACAATTCCC